TGTGGATGATATGTAAAGCAGCCATCAGTATCACATTGATTAATATATTTTCTTTAGAAATATGTGGTGACTATATAACATAAGGAATTTAGGAGGTATCTATATATGTATTATTATAAAGCTTTCCCTTTGACGAAGTAATAGTAATGAAAATTATAAATAGGTTTGGAATCTTTATTAGTATTGGGAAACGACATAGAGAGTTTTTTTGGATGTGTTAAAAGTATATTGGGAATCTAAAATGACCCTCGAGTTATTAGTTCAGTTCCTATCTTCGGGGTCATCTATGCACACACACATTTACAGATTAGTACTATATACATAAGTATCTCTTTTTTTTATTTGATAACATGTGAATATATTATTACCAAATGGAACATTGAGTTTGATTACAAGAGGTAACAGCTATTTTGATCCAAAAAAAGATACATAAGTATGTTGTATCTGAAACAACAGTGTTTAACATGAAATAATGTGTGTTTTGTGGATAAGGTTTTGTATCTTTTGATTTTTACATAATTTGATACTGGTCCATGGTTATATGTAAAACTTAAGAACTAAGACACAGGGAGATAGAAACTAACCGTTTATAACATAAATGATAGAAAATGATTGTTACAGTCTTATATAAGAAGATATTTATTGGAATTTCTTTGCATTATGAAATGAAGCATGAGGGAAGTATTAGAGAGGCATAACTTGCAGTCAAAGAACTTGGAGAAGCTTGATCAACCATCTCTTGATCTACAGGTTAGCTACATTCTCAAATTTACCATACATTTCTTTCGCGATTTCCTTAACTTAGGAAAGACAGGATTGTTCCTTTGAATTGCTTATTTTGTAGATTAAGGTATACTTACGTACAGAAGATTTATCAAGAAACTGTTTAAACAATGTATTAATAGGCCTAAAGAATTATATTTATTGCACACGATTAGACTAGATTTTAACGAAATTACTCGATCCAAATGAACTAAGAGTATTAAAAAGACTTGAGACTTGGACTGTTAGGTTTATGATTCTCTATGTATAATGGTAGTTTAAAACTATTATAATAATTTTTACATGAATGGATGTGAGCTTTCTGTAAAGCTAGACATGTATAATTAGTTGTGTAGAGATTTGGGCTTAGATCATTGTGGATTTGATTAAGAGATGAAGTCAATGTTTTATCTGTTAGCTCGTAGAGAACAGTGATCACGCTCGGTTGAGCAGAGAAATTGCGGACAAGAGCCACCGACTAAGGTACACTTATATACATGCATATTCTATGAATTTTGAAATGAATATCATTTTCTAACTAAAATATTTATTTATGATCATATATAGGCAAATGAGAGGAGAGGAGCTTCAAGGGCTTAACATTGAAGATCTGCAAAAACTAGAGAAGGCTCTCGAAACTGGTTTGACACGTGTGATTGAAACTAAGGTTCTTAAAGAATTTAGATGTTAAAAGATATCATGTATAAAATTTATGTAAGCCTGCGACCATGTAACTTACTATTACGAGATGTTGTTGCAGAGTGAGAAGATTCTGAAGGAGATCAGTGAACTTCAGAAAAAGGTAAGAATCAAAATAACGTTTGATCTAATACGTATTGATTTACATAATTAACTTTGGCCTAGAAGAGAGTATAAATTTATACTTTGTGGGGTTAGGGAATGCAATTGATGGACGAGAACAAGCGGCTGAGGCAGCAAGTACGTGTCTTACCTTTTGTCTATAACTCATATATTTGATCATACTTTAAGATAGAAACCAAGTGACTAGCGATGTTGAAAAGTGTCTTTTAAATCTTAATGGTAAACATTTAGCTAGTTACTCCCTAGGGTTTAACATATGACACTACTTGGTCCTGTATAGATTTGGTTCTGGTTTTTTTGTCTGTTTTCATATGTTTTTTTTTAGCTTTATGGAGTATGGAAACTGAAATGAATCTAAATATCACATGGTTTGGTTCAGATTCTTAGTAAAACTTTATCTTTTCTTTTAAAGGTTTTTTTTTTCTTAGAAAGTTGGCCTTTTGTTTTCATTCAGTTTAGTTTGTTTTGGTAACGGCTTGTTTCGATATGCTAAGCATTGGTTCAATAATGTATTCGAGGATGAGTTTGCTTGAGAGACTTAATTTCAAATTTGCTCATACCGCTATTAGTGGATCTCTAGAGAAAACCAAGACAATTGGTGCCAAGAGAAAACTCAAAATGCTGATAATTAGAGAAGTTAATGATAATGTG